CTGCTGCGGCTGCCCGCAAGCAGCGGCAAAAGGAGGATGCGCCGCCTGCGACGGCTGCATGAGGCAGCTGCGCCGCCTGCGACGGATGAACCGCGAGCAGCGTCAGCAAAAAGCAGCTGCGCCGCATCCGGCAGCTGCGCAGTCTACGGCGGCAGCATGAGGCGGCTGCGCCGCAAACAGCGGCAAAAGGCGCAGGTGACCCGTCTGCGGCGGCAGCATAAGGCGGCCGCGCCGTCTGCGGCGGCAGCATAAGGCGGCTGCGCCGTATGCGGCGGCATCATAAGGCGGCTGCGACGAGCGTGGAAAGGGCGGAAAGGTTTTACGTGACATTTTCTGTGAAAAGTCGGGGAACCGATCGACAACCGCCTTTCGAGGCCGTACGCCAGCGCGCCCCGCGCACGAAAAAGCACCTCGCGGCCGCCACCGCTTTCGCCGGGAGCTGAACTCTTTAGTGCCTTTTGCACTGCAACGGTGCGACGGCGCCCTGCTGTCACTTGCGGCCCGCCGAGCGACCTCGGATCCCTTCTATTGGAGTTTACAAATGAGAACGGGCCGATCGAGCTCGCCTACTCGATGGTCGCAGAGTCCCACGAAACGTCCGACGGGCCGAAGAAGCAATCTGCGATGCACGCGAACGGGGCTGGCCTGCGGAGACGCGGCTGCATAGATGGGCGCAGTCGCATAGGGTCCATCCTCGTGCGCCGCTTCGACGTCGGGCCTCGGAGAGGTCCTCGGAGAGGTGATCGAGGGACGTGTGGTGGGCCTGTGATAGCGTTGCTCTGGGGGTATTTTTGCCAGCAGCGCCCGGGCGCTGCCTCCGCGCCCCGAGCACTCGACGGCCTGAGCGACGCTGCGGCACTCGCCGGCACCATCGTGCGCCGCCTCCGTGGGCTGCAGACCAGGACGATGTTTTACGGGGGCCTCGGTGTGCATAGGAGAAGGGGCTGGAGTGTAGAAGGAGGGCCTCAGCGGAGTGCATACCTCGGGATCCTGCATGGGAGAAGGGGCTCGGACGTCCATCCCGTGCGAGACGCGGGGCCCGGCGGCCAGCTCCGCGGAAGCCCGCTGCGGCGAAGAGAGGCCCAGGCCGCGCGGGCAGCGCGCGGGGCGCAAAAAGCAACACGGAACAATTTTGGAATTGTGATTTTATTACAAGAGCGCGCCGGAGGCACACGGAGGACCCGAAGGATACAGCCAAATCCCATTGCAATGCCCACGTAAATAAATGAAATTATTTAACTAATCGCTGAACTTTCAAATCCTCCTTATCTTTATTTTTATTATTTTATTTCTTATTGAGCTATTTATTTTTTCTTTTTTTTGCGGCCGACCAGATTCGAACCTGTGACCAAAAACTTCTTCTATGATGATTCCAATGAGGCTCCTGCTCGACCTCAACTCCCAATTTTAGCGATCGCATCAACCACCAATCGCTAAATCGGCCGAGTTGCTGTTTTTTTCTTCCCAAAGGTGGAACCTCACGGATGGACCCGGCGACGGACGGACAAACAGACAGACAGACAGACAAACGGACAGACAGACATAATTGCCCCTGGTAATCCTTCAATCAAAGGACCCGAAGGGCCCTTGCCGTAAACTGACGTTGAATAAACGGCAAGGACCCTTCGGGTCCTGAAAAAAGCAAAAAGAGGTTCTCCAGGCAAAAAGAAATTCCGAATCCGGGACTCGAACCCGAGTCTCAACCGTGCAACTCACTAAGAGTCGTAAGACAAGGAGTGATTGAGAGGGTCGTATGCTGACCACCTACACCAATTCGGACTGTTGACCGATTGGGCGATCAGACTATCCTAGATGTGTACTACACATGAGGTGAGAGAGAGAAAACGCTGATGTTTACTTAAGATCAGGCTCGGCCGAGTATTATTAAACTCTGGTCCTTCATGGTAGACGTGCCGCAACAAAGGCCGCGAGGCTCTCCAGCGACGGCCCTCGCTATCAGCTGCGCCGCGCCGACCCTCCGCTGCATCCGGTTTGCCCACGAGGCGGGGGCGGGGCTCATGGTCTCGGAAGATGGTGATTTGCGGCAGTATGTCAGCTGCGATAGGATCAATATCCACCATCATGTATCTATTACCATGGCGCACCGGAGGCACTGTAGACCCCCGGAGGGCGCCTTTCGTATGGTGGTGCAGTCATTTAGAGGGCATTTTGAAACGCGAGTAGGCTGGCTTAGGTTAAGTCCCATTTCGATGTCGATGGCCCAGCGGCGAAGAAAGGACCAGCACACTCGGTCCAAACCTCGCAACACCCTCGCAACCGCGCGCAGTAGCATGCTGCATAGGCGCGCGTCTTGTTTGTTTAGAGACCAAGGGTTCAGTACGGACGGGCGGACAGACAAAATTGCTAATGGGGGATCTTCAATACAATTGTAACTACCCCCGGAAAAGGGCCTAGATTTATTCAAGTCCAAAGACCCCCCCGGAGGGTCTGAACCAGGAATTTCTAGTACAAGGGGTATCGCTAATGACGCCGAGGACTTTCTGGCAATCGCAGTTTTCGTCGCTTGGAGTTTGGCTCTGCTGGGAGTGATAGAGGAAGTCGCGCTGAGTCCCATGATGCAGAATCCTATAGAAATTGTTTGTAAAAACGCTCAAACTAAAAATCTGAACGTCTGTTTTGGCTCGTCTGAAGCGCCACTCGCGGCAATCGTACAGGATTCGCCATGTTTCACCCCTGTACGTATGGACCCACGCCGTCACATAGCCAGATTTTCGATTCCTGCGGTCCTGCGATGGTCAGCCGGGCCCGAACCTTCGCAATATGGAGGCAAAATCAAGGCAAAATCAAGGTAAGGGGGCAAACGTAGATTTTATCAAGTCCAAAATATTGGGGGAAGCGCTTGTTCGCGCCCTTGCAAGGCGCCCTCCTCGAGGCTGATCATGTCACGGACATCCGGGGGGGCAGGGAGGCCCATAGCGACCACGACCAACCCCGCAGGCGGCCTCTGAGAGCCACAACTTTGCGTCATTTGTCGGCTTTATCGCCGATACCCCTTGTATGCTTTTGCACGCCGACGCCGTGGGGCGAGGCTTCACGACGACGACGAAGACGACGGCGGCGGCGTGGGCCCCGCGCCTTGGCAAAGGCGAGATTGCGCCTTGGACCGCGCCTTCGGGAGAACCCCTAGACGCTCGCAAGGAACCTTCGACGCTCGCGCGATATGAAGGAACATCATGAGCGAAAACAACAGCCCAGTTGCTGACGTCGGCATCTACCTTTTTTGTTTAAAGTTCATCATATTCGTGCTAAGTTGGTTGATCTGACTAAGCCAGATGAAGGTCCTCCGGGACTAGATGGCAGCCCTGCCGGAAGGTCCCGGTCTGTCTGCCCTGTAATTTCTTATTATTATTATATTGAGTCGCGGGTTAGTTTCCGTCGTCACAGCCCACCCTCGTCGAGGGCGAGCGCACAGGCGCCACGCGCGCCCCGCCACTGCATGTATCGGGGGAGTACTGACCATCTTGCCTCCCACGAGGGGGGGCTTACGCGGCGCGTGTCGTGGACGAGCAGGGCGCGGACGAGATGTGGGGGGAAAGTGCCACTTTTTGCCAAAACGAGTTTCAAAAAGGTACAAAATCGTGATTCTGATGCATTTTTCCTTAAAGAGTCAACTGTTGTCAGAAACATGCAGATGGACACTCCTTCCAATTTTCCATGTCAAAGTCCCAGTTCGTCGTATTCGGCAAGGACGAGGATTTCGATTTCCAATGGAAATTAACGGGTGAATAAATTGGCCCCAAGTCAGGCATTATAAAATACCTGGGTCTTATATTTAGAAGGTGCCTTGGCCAGTTCGACGTGGAGGGTTCCATGGCGGCCAAATTGAGATTGAAATATGTCGGTTTGAAGTTCATCGACGACGGCCCAAGCACTTGCTTGGTCTGTCATAAGAGCACCTTGCAAACCGATAATACGAACATCTGCGCAGACGTCCCACATTGCTAATTTTGCGAAGGCGACGTGCATCTGGAGTGCGTGGGTATCGTGTCCGTCCCACTTGGAGAATTTTATAGCCCTCCATGCCTTCTAAAAGGTGCCCCATGCTTCCCCACTCCGGAGGAATGGATCATTATATCAAGCCGGACAGAGAAATGCCCCTGCGGCAAACTTGAATACCAAGCTGTGACGGACCTCCTCGACGGGGCGATCACTCACCGAAATGAATTTGCATTCACTCTCGAGAAACTGCATGGCATTATGGTTAAAAAACAACCGCGTATTCACAGAAGTACGGGGCCAGGCAAGTCCCGCCCTTTAAAACAGAGGGCCCGTGGGAGGAGACAAAGGCCATAGTACAAAGAGAAGATTGTCGATTTTGAAGAACCAAATCGATCTCATGGGCTGTCATACAATGGGCCTTCCTACTTGGATTTCGAAGCCGGTTGTCCAAACATCAGTTGTCGCTACGGTGCTATTAACTCGGATTTTGACGATTTTGACGGGGTGGTGCATACTGCGGCCCAATCCAACTTGAGATGAAGATCTATAGGAGACTAATCGACGTTCCAGTTGCTTCAAATTATTTGACCTATAACTGACTCAACTCAACTGTGGCTGGGGAAGATAGAAATGGATTGTTATTGGCGAGAGGTGCTATTGAGGACAACGTGATTTAATGTCGAGGCGGCTTTAGTGATCGGGGCACGCCCCGCGCGAGCAAGCGCGCACGCACAGCCAAAAAAATCGTTTTGAAAAAAAACGGGGAAACGCGCGCTTATTTGCTCGATGCCCGGCTTCCCCAAGGCACTGCGCCCCGAGGACAACGAGCTTTACGGCGGCGTTTGGGTGAGTCAATCGGGCTCGCCAAGCTCCACACCGTGGGCCGGCTAACTCGGATTTGATGTATCCGGAGTATAAGTCCATTTATATCTTCCCCAGCCACACTTGAGATAAACAGGATCTACAGGAGGCCAATCGACGTTCCAAGTAGGACTAGCAATCCAGCCATTCATCGTGAGTGCGGTTTGATAAACCAAAAGTTCCGTGCTCGAGCGGCTGCTCTTAAATTCAGAAACCACATAATTGGACTCCCAGCAAATCGGTTGGTGAAGCAAGTGTATGTGGCATTGCCTTTCGAGACCGCCCCTGTCTTAGCACACGGTCGCAACGTGGATAATAGCGTCACTGTGCAACCTCGAACCATGGTCTATTTTATTAGGCTGACGTGAATATATTGGCGTTTGTGCTTCGACCACCAAGGCACATGAAATTCGCTGTTTGCTGCAAAAAGAAAATTGATCGCATTGACTTCCAGTGTCAGCGACCCTGTTGGCGCTGCGGGGATGGTCATCGACACCCAAAATTGCCCCGTACCTTCTGCGTGATCCTACCCTATATTAGACACTTCGTCAGGGGAAAGCAATTAAAATTACATTGCGTTGCAATCGCCACGAAGCACCCGGGAAGGAACATAACTTTCACGAGGTGATTGGCCCGTTTGCACTTACAAATTTACACAAGGCGACCCCATGTTGGCATGAAAGAGTCGGTGATTCCGCGCATCACGTTCTGGGCGTCTGCGGTGCGTACAAGGAGCCCCGAAGCGCATGCTTTGCTCGAATTGAATCTAAAGTTCCGTCGTTTGCGGATCTTACCACCACAAGTGCGGCTAGTTTTTCGAGGGGTGAAGGGCTTTTAAAGAAACGCTGGCGACGTCGCGGCGCATGACCGATTCAGCGATTGGCGGTTGATACGATCGCTATTGGGAATAGAGGTCGA